TACTCAATCATATTCATAAAGTCTAATTTTACCAGAAACTTAAGATCAGTGAATTAATATCTGCTATACAACCATTTAAACCATTTCAAACTTTCTTCGTATTGTTCAATAATGTGGTTAAATTTCAAATACTCATTGAATTATTATTTGATCAAGAAAGATATTATTATAGTTCAGTGCTGCTATGCAAGTTAGAATATTAAAAATTGAGAGGTATGTTTGATAAATTCCGAGTTCAGGTTTCACATTCAGGATCGTGGATGGGCACTACTGAGGAATCTCACTCCAGGATGAAACAATCTTCCAGTGCTGATGTGAACAGGAAAACAAGAAGCCCTGGAAAACTATGAAAGCTATTTTTCGGGACGTTATTTTATTCAAAGCTTGTAAAACATTGACATTGATTTTTGTCCCTAATCTATTCTACAGAACATAAACTTTCGTTCGATGTATGATTCATCGCCATACCCTTTTCTGTTCCGAAGCTATTGTAATTTAAACATAATATTTTGCACCTTATTTTCTACTCTAATTCCCAGTTTTGGACATAATTGTATTTTTCCTAATTATGGTACGTTATGGTCGGGTTATTCACTTATTTATTCATGTACCTTTTTTGCACTAATCCGAACTGAACTGAACTGGAATCAAGATATCAGGAATCGATCGAGTAGTGTTCCAGTTGTCTTGTCTTCTCTCATTCGTGTGCTTGTCAGCCAATCAGGAGATAGAATAGTTTCCTTCTCTCTACCCCACTTCGAACTCATGCGTACTAGCCTCAAAGTTAGGTCGGTCAGCCTATCGTGCCAAGGCCTTAATCTGAGTTACATAAGTATCCTCAGCGCCAAAAGTGGGTAGATAGACCAAAGGACATAACAATTATGCATAGCTAATATTCATTGCACTTCCCTTGGTTACATGAATTCATTCAAATATAGAAATGTTATGTTAACTTGGTGATCTCAAGGTGATCTCAACCATTAGCTTTCACACATAATCAAAATATTTTGTAAACGATTCTGTAAATCCCTGCCGTCCGCCACCCCTTCTATTTTTCATTTATCCACACGTTATCTTTGGTAGATTATTAGTAAGAGTGAAGAATGGGACTTACTTTATTGATATTAGTTGGTAGTATCTCTGTAAGCATTAATTTTAAAAATGGTTTAGCACCTGCAGGATGTTTAGAGCTTATCCACTGAAGATTTGCCTAAAAAACAAAAACAATACACAGAACAAAATACATGATAGTAACATTTTATTACTATAGGGTTATAGAGATTGTTGTGTTGTATGCGTATTATGAAGCGATATAAGTTGAACTACTGTAAAGAACAAGAACACAAGTGGGGACAATCAAGTGTATTACAGACTCTATTAGTAAAATCTGAGAATCATGCAGTAAATAGTTCAATTGCAAAATGTCAATCAATCGTCTCAGATTTCATTGTTCTTTCGATTTCACACCAATTATTCTTTGTTCTCGTTCTCTTTTCTTTGATCTTCTTAACATTCTTCCTCCAGGCATTTCACTTTTTATCGATGATATGTACTGTATATCTCTCGAAACCGACTAGCATTCTTCAACCCACTATGTACTAAATCTTCCTTTCTGGTTCTATCCAATTTTTGTTAATTCTTTTTATGTCTATCTCCAATTCTCGTTGTAATGTGTTATTTATTCTTCCTCTTCTCCCTTGGCATTGAGGATTCCATATGAGGGCTTGCCTTGTGATGCAGTTAGGTGCTTTCCTCAATCTGTGTCCTATCCACTTCCAGCACTTCTTCCTGATTTCCTCCACCTCTGAGATCTAGTTTGTTCTCTCCCATAGTAGGTTGTTGCTGATAGTATCTGGCCAACGGATCTGAAGTATGTTTCGTAGACAATTGTTAATAAACATTTGTATCTTCTGGATGATGGCTTTCGTAGTTTTCCAAGTTTCCGCTCCATACAGTAGAACTATCTTGACATTTGTATTAAAAATTCTGACCTTGGTGTTGGTTGATAGTTGTTTTGAGTTCCATATGTTCTTCAGTTGTAAATATTCTGCTCATGCTTTACCGATCCGCGCTTTCACATCTACATCAGATCCACCGTGTTCATCAATGATGCTGTCCAGATATGTAAAGGTTTCTGCATCTCCCAAATCTTCTCTGTCAAGTATGATTCGATTGATGCATGCTGTGTTGTGTGGGAGAATCTTGCTTTTCCCTTTATATATGTTGAGACCTACTGCTTTTGTGGCTAAACATGGCCATAACTCCATTTCTGAACTTTACTTTAAATATTCAAATAATTACCTTACTACTGTGAACAGTATATTTATTCAATAAGTATAAATTGACATAAATTTGTAAATTCCAATCAACGGAGAAGATATTGTTGAAGAGATCCAGAAAACACTTAGCGAAAAAATGCCAAAAAGGCTCTGAAAACATTGAGAACCATCTTATCCAATTAGCATTCACTTGACGTTTTCCCAGAAACATCTAGAAAGTGAAATGTCACATGTCGAGTTTTGGATTGGATGATTATATATACCGCTTCTAGGTTTAGTAGCGTTTCAGAATTTCCCGGATACCCTTAGGACGTTTAAAATACTCTAAAATCCTAGATTTTCTGTAGGTAAACGAACCTTTGGAGTAAAGCGTTTTTTCCATATTTCGCACATTTTCTTTCGTGTTTAAGTCGCTGTGTAAATTTAGCCTGGCAGTTACTAGAAGAGCTTAGGAAACTGAATCCAACGTTCAATTAGAAAACTTATCAATGGCGACGGGAAAAACTATAATGAATATTTCTTTGGAGCAACTAGATACTTATATGGAGCGTTAAGAAAAGCGGTTTGAACAGTCTCAAATCAAAATCATAAATGCCGAATCTAACGTTCAATTAGAAGACTTATCAGATAATGAACCATTCCTCTAGTTTACACTAATCTCATATTAAGATGAAACAACTGTTAAATAGTTCTGTACTTAGGGGTATGAACAATACAATCTATGATTAAGGATCATTAGTTATAATGTATGCGAAAACTTACCAAATAGTTACTGCAATTGTAAAAATGATATTCCATATTATGTAATTTCCATGTATTCATCAAATTCAACAACTGACTATTTGATGAAATCGACGTTATTAAGAAATGAAATACAGTTGTATATGTTGTTGATACATTGTTCATAACAGTTTGACAATCATTCATAAATCGATCACAAAAGTTTGATAGACAACAAGCTTTTAAATCACATCGAAATCTTCCATTTTGATGATAGAAAATAGATTTCAGAAGACTATTCAAATATTGTAGATCTCGATTACTATCATATAAGATCACAATGTGAATTTTATTTTCCTAAAACAAAAAAAATTCTCAGAAGGGTTTTTCTAGATATTATAGTAATTTCAATAGTTGAGATCATGAGTCAATTGAAGCCAGACCACCATGGAAAACCTGGCCGGCTTATTGGCCTAGTAGTTACGTACTCGCGCGCGCAACTGATGGGTCCTGGGTTTGAATCTCGCAAAGTGGGATTGTAGATGTGCACTTCTGGAAGTCCCATACTAGAATGAAACGGCCATCCAGTCCTTTCAGGTTTTTCATGGTTGCTTAGCCCTAATAAACTCATAAATTCAACTATCAATTTAGTAAAAAATCTCCACAAAACCTGATAATAAATTGAATGTATATATTAATTGAACTAATTAAAAGCACACGTTACTATTTTGATCATAATTTATAAGTGCACTACTACTACTACTACTGGATAGTATAAGACGGTGAGATATTGTCTTGTTTCTAGGTTCCAATACATTAATGATGTGAATTTTTTTCTATAAACTAAAAAAATTTAATCGTTGAATTCGTGAGTCGATTGAAGCTAGATTACCATTGAAAACCCGGAAGCACTGAACGGTCGTTTCGTCCTACTATGGGACTGTTCAGCAATGCGCATCCATGATCCTACTCACAGGACTCGAGCCCAGGACCTTCAGTCTCACGAGCGAACGACTAACCTCTAGACCACTGAGCTTGCATCCAACCTCGTTAATATCTAACTTCAACCAATCAACGAAATTGCCATAATCAATGGAGCCAATCGATGTCAGGTAGGGACAGATATCTACCTTGGACAATGGAAGATAGTCGAGCATTTTCGTGGATTGGTTGAAGTTAGACATGAACACAGTTGGATACAAGCTCAGTGGTCTAGAGTTTAAGCATTCACTTGCAAAACCAAATGTCCTAGGCTCGAGTCCCGGGTTTGGAATTGTACATATACACTGCTGGAAAGTCCCATACTAGAACGAAACGACCATCCAATACTTCCAGGTATTCCATGTTAGTCTAGCTTCAATTGACTCATGATCTGAACTATTGAAATTACTATAGTCAGTCAGTCAGTCAGTCAGCTACAACGTAGGACCAGGCACATATGTGCATCGGTCCAGGTTGCCATACCTCATTAGCACAGCAAGATGAACAGCGGATTCATAGGAGTGGTTAGGTCAAAGGTTGCAATAAGGATATAGTATAGGAAGAAAGAATTAGTTCGTAGACAGAAAGAATGAAGTGATTTTAGTCTCTTAGTTTAAGGGAAGACAGGGAGTGTGTACACCGACGCCATGGTGATCGATTCTGAGCCATGTCACCAAGAGTCTCCAACCATTGGTTACGAAAGTCACGCGGACCCCAACCAAGTAGTCTGCATCTACCAACATGGCTCAGACTAGAAGCTAGTGACTTCAGACACTATAATATAAATAAGTATCCCTCTCTGATGATAAACATATTTTTTTATTAACTATTACTTTATCATCATATAACTTACCATGGATTTCATTGTAGTTAGTGAATAAATTGTAAAATCCACATTCCAATAAGTGAAATGAAGTGCAGTACATATAAATAAACTGAATATAATAATGAATGATAATAAGACTTTATTATTATATTGATATTGTTTAATATGATTCATTGTTTTAATGTATCTATTAGGTTCAAACCAATCTGTAAACCATTCTATCATCTTTAATAATAATAATCATAAGTTGAACCAATTAAAGTATGATCAGTTACAATGATTGATGGAATCATCACTAAGATACTTGTTACCAATCAGGTAATTGTAAAATTTCAAATGTTACTTTATATTCATTATAGTTTCTTTGATTGGTTAGAGATTGTAGTAATTTAATAATTGAAATCATGAATCAATTAAAGCTAAGCTACCATGAAAAATATGGAAACACTGGATGACCGTCTCTTCCTAGTATGGAACTCCTCAGCTGTGCACATCAACGACCCTGCCCCGGAAGCTTCTAACCCAGGACCTATCAGTCTTGCGGGTAACGCTTAACCTCTAAACCATTAAGCCAGCTGGCATCCATAGGTGTTAATGTTTGACTTTAACTAATCCACGAAATTGAGCGACACATCCACCATGTCATCAGTGAGTTACTATCTCACAACAGACCGGGTTGGTCTCCACTGATCACGGCCTCTCACTAGAATTCCAGGAGATAACTCTTGAAGCCAGGCACTGGTGAGCATATGATGATTATAGTGAACATACATACTGAAAGATAAATAATAACCTGTCAATGAAAAGATCTTTTGTCATAGTGATTAACTTTAAATTATCGAGTGTTAAATGATTGTATCTAATTAATATAGAGATTCACTTCGTATTACTTTACTTGAATCTTCCCATTGATAATTAGGACTGTAATTGATCAGTCTCCTATTGGTACATCCAGCTGATGGGTCCCGGGCAGGACAAAACGAGCGTCCTGGATTCCACTGTTAGCCACTATCTATCTTTGCTTATAATCTACAGGTGTTTAGCAATATACTAGGTTTCCACACAGAGTTTATGTTCAGAACTTTCTAGTAGAGTTATAAACGACCGGCCACTGGTAGGGTTTACGATCTACTCCTCCAAAGAGTCATAAACTAGCATGAAACAGCTAACAGATACTTTCTCGTATGCATTAACTCAAGAATCACTTACTTACGCCTGTTACCTCTTGTCTAAGAGCATAGGCCGCTCACCAGCACTCTCCATCCAACCTCGTCCTGCAGCACTTCTACAACTACTTCCGGTTCCAAGTCCGGTTAAAGGAGGAGAGTTGAGTATGAGGTCGGCGACCTCATCCCGTAGAAAAAGATCTTGCTAGAAAAAAAGGCCAATCAGAATAAAAAAATTAATCCAAGACTACATGAAAATAATTAATTTTGATCAACTATGATAGTTCATACAAAACTTATTTGTTTAACTAGATGTTTACCATTCAATTCTGCTATAAAATATCATGGAATCAAATTAGTAAACGGAATATAAAGTTTATTTTTCATTATAATGAAGATCTAGGATTATTATTCAAAGGATTGATCAAAGAGAATAATGAATATAAAGAAACTAAAATCGATGGTATTATTTGATCTCAAAACACCGATGTTGATATTTGTTCACGATAAATGGTCCTGAGTTTGCTTCTTGATATGGTAGACACCCTCAAATGCCTTGGTACGGCCGAGAGTGGGGATAGTCAGTTCTCCTTCTCGAAATACTCTCACATAGCCACGCGTACAGAGCTTCTGCCAGGGCAATCTTACTCACTGAATTCTGGTGGTAGGGGTTTTGCTTACGAAATTGAGAGGACGAGATACGAATATCCGGCACTTCAACCGGTTCGGTGAACACGGAAGATCCATCTAGGGGAGTTGGAAAATCCTGATTCCAAACCAATGGTGCACATAAGCTCCAGTATCCTGAAGGAACAAATGACTTATGAACCTACTGTTGATCACCGGCTATCGTGGGACTGCATCTCCAGACGTTGCTCCACTACATCGTAGATCAGACCTTCATGTCGAAGGCTCCGGGCGTGACCCCATAAGATAACTGCCGGCTTCAGTCTGGGCACCGTGGCGGTATCACAGCTTACACACAAATCAAGTGACATGTGTGGCGCATATGTATTCGGTGCCCCTTTTGTACCAATATATATGTGTTCAAATAAATAAATAGACTGTGTTACAGGATTAAAATAAAGTTCCATTGTTGTTCTGAATTATATCATCAAAGCTGGTTGTGAGTAGAAACCTCCACATAAAGTAAGCTTTGATGATGTTGCCCAGAATGATGATGAAGTCATTGTAAGCTTTATTGTATTACAATGTTTAATGCGATTCATGAACATTAGATGACAATTCAAAATCTTACAATAAATTCTGAAAGAATCTAAGAAATTAGATAAATTTCATCCTAGGATGGAACTCCTCAACAGTTCACATCCATGATCCTGGGTTCAAATTCTGTGGGGCGGGATTCTAGATTTCCCATGGTGATCTAGCTTCAATTCACTCATGAATTCAACTATAAGATTTTCTTTCAAAAAAAAAACACAACATATTTTTATCTTTTAAAAAGTGAAAACATGTTGTTATCCCACAAAAAAACATTCATACAAATGATGGTCATTATGGTAGAATAAGGAAACACAATTCAGGAGGAAAACCATAACAGACTTAGACTAAGCAAAGGAATTATTTATCTTTATCAGTATAGGATTGTGGAGATTATTAAGTTTTTGATTGAGATCATGAACTGATTGATATTAGACTACCATTGAAAACCTTGAAGCACTGGATGGCCGTTTCGTCCTATTGTGGGACTCTTCAGTAATGTTCATCCACGATAATATTATACATATTTGAGGTTTTATTCGGAAAAATAATTCATCAGAAGTAATCGGAATAAAGTATAAATGGTTTTTTAAAGATCAAACTTGTCTTTTTTCATTATGTAGACTATTACAGAATTAGTTAAATCTGTAATACGAATTGACTTTACTTAACTATTATCAATCCATAATTATAAACTATCAATTTATTTCATTAGTGAAAAGTTTGAGTTGAATGTTACTTTCATACAATACATAAGAATTATATTGTTGAATAGAGTATTAAGTAGTAGGTCAATACATATATATTCAAAGGTCAAGAATAGTAATATAAGTACTGACTCTTAATAACATAATCTTAATCAGGTCAGTATGTATTCAAGTGTTAAAAACAACACTAATAATAAGTATATAGAATCAATATTTTTACTCACAATTGATTGATCATTGGATGTTTATCAATGTCATGTATGTCAAGTTCCTCTTAGTGCAGATTAATTCCTATAGACTGAGTTGGAATGTGGCCACTAGTCTAGGTGACTAGACATTACGTGCGCTATGTTGTGATAAGATGATGGTTGGATATAGTCAACAGGGATCTCTGGACCTAGGTTTCATACTACTTGGCGCTTGTCAGTAAGGTGTACTTGTAATCTTGATGGAACTGATGCTCACTGACGGGTTGAGATGTACTTATAATCGATTCATCACTGCAGGAGGTCAGTCGCAACCCGGATAGTCTGGTGGTAACGTCTCTGACTGTGAAGGTGGATGACATGGAATCAAATCTATCAAGGAGCTTCAGTCCTCTCATGGCTATAGGTAAACTCTGTTGACGAGTGCCAAGTAGAACGAAACCTAGGTCAAGGGTTTCCTGTTGACTTCCTTCAACCACCATCTCATACTTTTACTCGTTTATGTTGTATAATCAATCAGTTTGATGAGTCATAAGATTATAACATAAAATATGCACATACTTGCTGCTTGTTGATACTATGAGAGAAAAAATGTTTAGTAACAGTTAAAATAATTAGAACTGTGTTACCGTTGTTTATACATGATTCATGGCAATGGATATTTTCATTGCATGGTCCTTTTAGTTTTACAACAAACCATATCTAGCATTCGAGACATTAGGAAACATTTCAGTTAGACCATAATTTATGGATGACCTTTAAAAGACTCTAGACTGATCTTGAGAGTGTCAACCTAATACCTAGGACCAAGTGAGGATAATAAACCAGTTTAAGGAATTCGAACTGTGATTTACATTTAATGCTTATGGTTAAGAATTAGATTCAGGGTTTTCATCACGAACTGACATAAACTATAATGCCAAAACTCTATTTAGCCAAATGGATGAGTGAATTTCAAGCCGAAATCTGAGATCTGTTATCTTATACCTGATTGTTTCGTCCATAAATTATAGTCTCGCTCACTTGTTGTTACATTTTAATAACTTCAACAGGTATAGGTAACCTTTAATTCAGTTAACACGTTCAATTGAAGATAAATCTTTAGTTTATCATGTGATTCAATATCGATGATTACAATTGAAAACAACTGTCTTTAAAGAAGAACTCAGTCGATCATTATGTATATAAAGAAAGAAACATGATCCTTATGGCTCTTCTATGATATACATTAACCAATCTGTTAAGATTGAAATTATCTATGGTTGAATTACCTATAAATTCAGCCATAGATCAACAAAATATCTAGTAAGAATGAATAAGAAAATACTATGCTACTGTTGAATTCGCATAAATTTACCATATTATTTGATATTCTTTCAGTTTCTTAAATATACATTTGAAAGAAACTGCGTTTGTCTAACGAATTCAAACAGTATTTACTCACGTATTCTACAGATCAACAAATTCAATTCACACCATGCGCTCACTAGTGACTAGCTTCGTGAGAAAATTATCGGAATTCTGGTGAGAAGCCGTGACCAGTGGAGTTAATCCGTGTCAGAGAGAAACAGGTGTCTACCTCAGTACAATGGAAGATGGTCGCGCAATTTCGTGGACTGGTTGAGGTTAGAAATTAACACCACTGGATTCTGGCTCAGTGGTCCAGTAGTTCAAGCGTTCTCACGAGAGACTGAAGGCTCTGGGTTTGAATCCCGCGGGGTCGCGGGAACGCACTGTCGAGGAGTCCCTTAATAGAACGGAACGGCCGTCCAGTGCTCCTAGGATTTTAATGGTGGTCTATCATCAATCGGTTCATGATCTCAATAAAAAACTTAACAATCTCCACAACCCCTATACTGAAAATTCAATTACATAATTTACTGTCAAATTGATTGTGTTTAAATATGAACAACCGTTTTGGTTTTAGGTTTGGTTGGTGAAACGATAGAGAACCTTAAATAGACAAAGTTGACGAAGAGGGTGACACAGACCACAGAAAACAAAATTGGCACGGCAAACAGAACCACCACAAGAATGACTGCTTTAAAGGGAGGGGGGACGAGGGTGTTGTGTGCTACTGATGTCGACAGATATAAATAGTATGTAACATCAATCGAAGGTGAAATACCTGGTAGTAAAAGGTTAAGAAAATCAACGAGAAGAGGACGAAAACCGAGAATAATTAGTGTGGAATCGAAAGAACAATGAAGTCTGAGACGATTGATTGACATTTTGCAAATGCAGTATTTACTGTATGCTTCATAGCTTCTATTAAGACGTTCTGTAATCTTTGTGTTCAAATATATCCGACTTTCCCCACTTGTGTTCTCATTCACTACAATATGAATTAACATTCTACTGTTAACTTGTCAGTAGTATCCTTATTTATTATTATAAGAGTCTCAAATACTTTTAAGAATTACACCATGAAACAGAAGTTACTACGGAATACTGGGATAAAATATTTCCATTTCTTAGATCATAGAATCTATCAAACACTGAATGAAAAACTACAAATATGTATTCCTCATGAATTACACAAAGTAAGTGTGATAATTGGAAGCATTTGAATTATGAAAAGAACTAGGAATCCCCGGAAATAACGCAATTCAAGTCAGGTGAACACAAACCAATATATTACATTTAGTACAAGAGTATCATTAGTTCATACAGCTTTTCTCTATTAATTTAAAAGTAGCACCTCAGCGCCAGGTTCACAGTGGCGTCTACAGAACAGCACCCTTCACTCCTCCTAGTTCGCAACGACATCAAATGTAATGAGCCAGAAAACAATAAGAGCCAATCGAATGTATTTGAACACAAATATTACAGAACATCTTGGTAAAATCTGAGAACCATACGGTAAATCCTTCATTTGCGAAATGTCAATCAGTTGTCTAAAACTTGACTGTCCTTTCTGCAAAATGTCAATGAATCGTGTCCGACTTCGTTGTTGTTTTGACTAGACATTAATCACTTTCTGTTCTCGTTCTCTTCCCTTCGATCTTTTTAACCTTCTGCCGCTAGACATTTCATTTTCGATTGATGATACATACTACTTATACCTGTCGATATCAGTAGTACATACCACAATATATATGATGGCTCAACTAAACAACTAACGAGTAAATATTTTACTAAAGATTACTTGTACAATAGCACTTTGAATAAAATGTAATGCTCACTAAATAAAACAAAAGTTGCATTAATATATATGTATGTATTAAGACGTAAATAAGTGCTCATTTATGAATACCATTATAAACTCTGGTGTGGAGTACCGTTCTAGAGCGAAACGGCCGTCTAGTGCTTCCCTATGGTCTAAAATCGGTCGGTTCGTGACTTCAATGATTTGAGAATGAAATAGGCATCTGATAAGCAGTCACGAGACAGGAATTGTTTCACATTAGCCTGCCTCAGTCGCTGATCTCTTTTCATTCACACTTAGAAAGGGAATTATTTTTATGGTTTTTTATCACCAGCTGAGCTTAACTAAATAATTAACGGCAACCAGAAATCACTGTAAATTTGTTTTGTTCTGGAATCGAACATCTCAGTATTGCGTATACACAACTACAGCGTGAATTAAATACGTAAATCTTAGATCTCACGATAAGTATTACCTTTTAGACCATTATGCCGCCATACAATAGTTTATAGCTTTAACTGCAATCGATTTACAACGTGACAAGATTAATTGCCAGTGGTAGTTACTTGAGTTCTATTGAGAACCATTGACCAATGCGATTCAACTATATTAGGTGTTGCTTAACAATTGTCTGAATGTAGATATTAGAATAATACTATTTCCAATAATTAACCAGTTAAAAAATACTTCCACGAAGAATACTAACATCATTTCCTTAACATTATGTAAAACTATAACCTAAGGTTTAGAAATTGGTTCAATGCGGAAATACTTTTTCTGTGATGAACATTTTTGACCTATATCACCCAGTCGTTGCAATTACACATCGAGGTTATTTTATGAGCACAAATCAAGTAGTGTTGTCTAGCAAAATAGGTCAGTTCGGAAATCAACGGATTTTCATTGATCACACGTTTTGGTTTATTCGCCCCTAACATTTTATCAACCTAATTCCACATCGGTAAAATCGATCATCGAAGTAGATGGTGGTTGTTGTCCTTTCAGTAGATAGGATTTATAGCTTCATCAATGAACTGACCACTACTGTCAAGTTGTGGTGAGTTCACCACCTCGATCAAGTTCAAAACGGCTATCTTCAACAATACCAACTGAGATTTTCGACTCCATGTTGAAACTACTAGATACCAATATCTTAGGTGTACAGTCGGTTGCCAAGTCCAACTACTCGAACGAGATATGTGTGAGACCAAAGTTCTAAACAACAACTTACGCAAGAACGAGTCTCAACTCGTAAGATACCTACACTGCTCAACTTAGTTGCATGTCTGGTAACAAAAAAGGTTTTGACAGAGTTAATGACAGTTGGCATTTATGACTAGAGTCAATAATGACAATCAACGATCAAAGCGGAAACTAATAACATACAAATATGAAAACTGTTGCGTCTGAACAAATACCCAAGGGATCTGCAAAAACTGGAAACACATTTTAAAAAGAAATAGGTAATCTAATTACAAAAGTAAATGCGATAAATATTATTAGCATAAGTAAATACTATGGAATATAACATAACTAATAGTGTTCGTTTCATCACACATTAAAACATTATTAAAAATACAAATGGTTACTAACTAATTAAAGAGTAGTATATATCGCTAAACAAAAATGAGTTCAATAAATTAGATCCATCTCTGAATTTTAAGTTACAAAAGTAAGAATGATTTAATCGGTTGAAAGGCTACTAAAACGTTGGAACAAAGATACGAAATAATTATAAATACTTCATTTGACGACGATTTAGCTTAACTCGAAACAACTTTTAATCAATATCAAAGTGGTAATCTTCAAAACGAACGTCAAGACAGCTCTACTGTACGGAGCTGAAACTTGGAGAACTACAACAACAACCATCAAGAAGGTACAAGTATTTATAAACAGTTGTCTACGCAAGATACTCAACATTCGTTATCCGAATACCATCAGCAACAGCCTTCTCTGGGAGAGAACAAACCAGCTTCCAACTGAAGAAGAAATTAGGAAAAGACGATGGAAATGGATAGGACCTACATTACGCAAATAATCAAACTGCCCTAACTTGGAATCGTGAAGGGAAGCGGTAAAGAAGAAGGCCAAAGAACACATTACGTCGGGAAACAGAAGCAGATATGAGAAGGATGAATAACAACATTTGGAATGAGCTGGAAAGGATTGCCCAGGACAGGGTTGGATGGACAATGCTGGTGAGCGGCTTATACTGCTTTGTTTGGCAAGGTATTAATGAGTACGACAAATTCATGAGATCTCATGGAGCTAACGTTAATATTAAATACGTGTCTTATTGCTAATGAATAATCTTTTCCAGAAGTCAAGTAAAGGTCTACCATTGACAACAACCAGTATTTGAGGGTTAATATTGAACTAAAACTGATTTTTTATGTATTCTTCTCCTCAACATATGTGAATGCTTATGGCATAATGGCCGTCGTAGACACGAATTCAGGTGAAACGGATCGCCTGACGAATCGGATTCAATTTCAAGGTGAAAATGTGTCACCACCTGAGGAATCTAGGGTTCATCGTCATAGTGTGCTCAATGTACCTCCGGTTGGCAACTGAATATGTAATTAATTGTATGGCTAAATACAGATAGCACACTTTTGACATTAGTTGTATTTATAATTAAAGCCTATCCGTAAATTTTGCAAATATTGCTAGATTTCTATGGTACTATTTGTTGTCAAAGTTTAAGTCAGTTAGTGTTATGATGAAAGGTACTAGTGAACATGATTCATTTTGATTTTCACATGCATCTTGACGAAATATACAATGGATAATGAGTCCGAGTTGTGAGAGACGGAGAAGAACAATAGAAATTTCGAGTTATTAGTGTTTGTGTTGATAATTCCAGCGTCTATCATGAAATATGTGAAGTGTTTCAGTTTATAAACCTTATTTTGAAATACTTGGTAATACAGTTGTTTGGAGTTATATTTTCAGCAATAGAAATCACGAGAGGAAAATGTGTTTAGGGCTCGCGAGTCCGAAGGTCCTGGGTTCAAACCCAGTAAGCGGGATCTGAGGAGTCTCATAATCGGACGAAACAACCATCCAGTGCTTCCACGTTTTCCATGGTGGTCTAGCTTTAATCATCTGATGAATTAAACTATTAAATTAACATAAAATTAATTATTATAGAATAATTAGAATGTAGTGTTTCCATGTGAACAAACACATGATGAATTTAGTTAATACCTACATTTATTTTATATTCTTAACTTAATTTACATCATTCTATTCACAATTCAAACTTCAACGAAACTGTTATAACTCGTGACCTTTTGCCCTATTAATCTATAACGTAATCACACCGTCAATTAGAGAACAGTGAATTATCGACCGAACCAATGACGTAAAAACCTGTACAAACAGTCTAGAGTACTTAACGGTACGTCTTCCTTCCTAACCATGTCTACCTGTTGAGTCCAGAACACAAATCTCAGCCTCCACGATATGAATCATATATTCCAAACATACTAGGTGTATATACAAACCAAGCAGACCACATTGTACTATAAAATAGATTTAGCTAAAAGTGGCTGTGAATGTGGAAGATTGTAATTAATAGTCTGAGCATAACTCATGAACAGTAAATCGTATATCAGACAGGTTTTGTGGAGATTGTAGTAATTTCAACAGTTGAGATCTTGAGTCAATTGAAGCTAGACCACCATGGAAAACCTAGAAGCACTGGACGGCGGTTTCGTCCTATTGTGGGACCCCTCAGCAGTGTGCATCCACCAAACGGCCATCCAGTGCTTCCAGGTTTTCCATGGTGGTCT